TGAACAGCGTTGGGGAGGCGTGCACCGAGCTGAAGCGCGAGTACGACCAGTGCTTCAACCGCTGGTTCGCGGACAAGTTCCTCAAGGGCGACAGCGCCGGTGACCCCTGCGGGCAGCTCTTCAAGCGCTACCAGCTCTGCGTGCAGGTGATGCCCGCCGCTCACCCGGTAACCCCCGGAGGAGCTGCCGCCGCGCTCCGTATCTGCCCTTGTCTTCCGTTTCTGTCGGTCATGACTCGCAGTGTTTTACGGGTGTCTCTGACTGCGTTTTTCTCGTTAATGAAACTTCTGAGCCTGCTCGTTCCGAGGCTCTTGTGTGATGGCATCCGGGCTACGTGTAGTTCCACAGCAGCCTTCCAGTATCTGAAGGGGGCCTGCAAGGATGCCGGAGACTCTTCACCAGGGACTGTACTGATAGGACAAGAGGTGATGGGTTTAAACTTAAACAGGGGAAGTTCAGGTTAGGTATAAGGCAGAAGCTCTTCCCTGCCAGCTGAGGCGCTGGCACAGGGTGCCCAGAGAAGCTGTGGCTGGCCCAACACCGGCAGGGTGTACGGTTTGGGGCTTGGAGCAACCTGCTGTAGTGGAAGGTGTCCCTGCCCTGTGGGAGGGGGCTGGAACTTTAAGGTCCCTTCCAACCCAAACCAGTCTGTGATTCTATGCATTCTCAGTACCTACTTGAACATCTCCAATATTGAAGCTTTATCCAAACCAAGCTTAAGACTGCTTTTTATAGATCATGTTTGCCACCAAAGATTACATTACTTAGCACTATAAAGGTGTGTCAACTTTAACTTTTGGGGGGGGGTGTTTCTAATTTCAGAAAGCTATCAAGGAAAAGGACATACCCATCGAAGGCCTGGAGTTCATGGGCCCAAACAAAGGAAAAACTGAAAACTCCTCCTGACCTCAGCTGCATGGATGGAGTCACTAATAGGAACCTTTGAACTAAGCAACACCACCTGGCAGATGGCTCGACGCCACCTGCATATGACCTTTGTTAAAGCTGCTTTCTAGAAGCCAGGAACCTTCTCTGCTTGTTAAAAAAAAAAAAAGGCAAAAAAAGACTGGATGATGTGGTAACTGCCTCCTTTTCGGTGAATTTTGGTGGTGGTTCAGCATCTAACAGCGTGAAAAGCCCTTTGAACTAACTTCACCTTGAATGTACTCTCTAATGGGAGAATGCTGCTTAGAGTGGGCTGAGGTAGTAGTTGCTTTGTGACTGATTTCTCTTGCTTATTTATATAACACTTGAAAGTGTTTAAAAAATAATATGAAAGAGGTTGATTTACTTTGTCTCCTCTCTGTGCTGCTGAATTTTGGTGGAAGAAGTTTGGTTTATATTATCCTGGATGCTGAGGGGCTAAACCATGGTTTTGTATCAGCAACAGAGATGGTATAAAAGCACTCTATTGGACCTGCATTAACATAGCTCCAATAAATATAACCAGGTTATGTTTTGTTCAAGTAATAACTGTCTAGTAGAATCTGATTGTGACCTCTAGGAGGGATGGAATATGAGTAGGACACTTTTAATGCTTCTTCAGACTTTTCTGAGGTACTGAAACAATCCTAAACTGGAATTCTCTCTCCTTTAGCATTACACGTTCCTGCAGTACATGGTGGCAGCACAGCCCTGGCCATCGTTTTCCACACTGCCACAAAGCACTGGGCTGGCCACCATCACCATTGGGCTTTTGCTTGTGGTGGTTAAAGTGTGTGTGGAATGAGGGAAACATGGCTTGTCAAGCTTCACTTGACAGCTGGTGATGTTAAAATCCCCAGCTGCTACTCAGGGATCTCGCCTGCTCATGAAGCTGCTCCTGAGCTGTGTGTACTTTGTGCCTAGGAAAGCAAACAAGTGTTTCTTGTGCTGGTTTGTGAGCTGCAGCAACTAGAAAAAGGGTGTTTGGAAGAGAAGCAAGGGATCAGCATCCATCCTGTCTGGTGGCCCTGTGAGCACAGTGGCAGAGGAGGAGGTTTCTGTTGATCCGAATGTAGGGGTGGGGAAAAGCTATCCCTTCTCATTACACCAGCACAGGTGAGAGAGTAAAAAATACAGTGGCCTAGGGATGAAAGAGAAGTCAAATTCCTCATTATCCTAGAATTTCAGTAAGGAAAAAAGTGAGCTTCAGTCTCGCTGCTTTTTAGCACTACCTGAAGGATCATTCAGAGGTCTTACTTTTCTAAAGGCGCAGTTCTCAAACATAAAAGCTGGCTTGTCTGGACCACAGCCCCTCAGGAATGGCCCCACACGTGGAGTCATGTGGGACATGTGCCCATCAGTGCCTTGTTCTGTGCTTTTCAACACTGAAGTTGCCTTAGCAGCCATTCTACCAGCAAGTGGGTGGAATACATTCTATTGGAACATGAGGGTGTCCCACAGCGCCCACTTCGAGATTTTCATTTGCCATCCATCATTCCTTTCAGCAGCAAGGTGCCAAGTCAGCTGCTGCATTCTTCCTTTTGGGAAGAACAGAGTTAATGACAGTTAAGACATAGCTCTCTCTTTCAAACCATTCAATAAAACCAGGCGTCACAGGAGGAATTGGGAAATGGTTGACTTGCAGTGAGGAAAAACTTCAAAAATAATATTATATTGAAACGGAGTTGTGAGCAAGATACATGCTGATAAACTGGATAAACTACACTGTGCAAAGTGTAGCTAAACATCTTTCCTGCCACTCCCTCTCCCAAAGGGGGATAAGAGAAAATGCATTTATGATGTTAATAAATACTGCAATAGCTGATTATGCAGAATGTGCTTTAGTATGTACTGAATTTTAATCTACATTGTTAGCCTGATACCTGTTCATCTGGCTGTGAGTTTACAGTGATCAGTTAAACCAGACATGATGAAGTAATGTCCTGGGCTGAGTGTGTTCTGTTGTTAGTATTACCAGATACGGGAGCAGGTATAAACATTCAGGCATCTGAACCCCTTTGCTCCTGCACTGTATCCCGTGGGAAGCCTCAATGTTTTAAGCAAACACTGGACTAAAGAATTTCTAAGGATTCAGATTAACGAAAAAGTCGGGTACTAAATTCAAGTTCAGACTTGTTTATTTAAAGGACCTCTACACAAGCACAGACAGAGGCCACCACACCACTCAGCTTCAGCACAGAAGGAATAGAGTTTCTTAAACGATGGTTCCCACACAATATTCTGTTCCAAGATGGGAAGAGCCAACGTTCTGGCTGTAGTCAGGATCTTAATTTTAATCTTCATAACCGGTTGGGAGAGGATTAACATGGGGGTTGTGGAACAGAGTTTTCTTCCCGTCACCCCAGGGGAAAGGCTGTAGAATGAACAAAGGAAACAAGGCAGCGTCAGCTGAGTGATCCATAAAGCACAGGAAACTGACAGCAACATGGACTCAAATGTCACACAGCTCCACAGGCTGATGAATTAAACAAGTTGGCATCTGTTCCCAGGCTGCAGAAGCAAGAGTTTTAGAACATTCCCTGAGCTGGCGCTGCCATCTCTAAACAAGATCATAGAATCCCAGCCTGGTCTGGGTTGAAGAGACCTTAAAGTTCCTCCAGTTCCAACCCCCTGCCACGGGCAGGGACACCTTCCACTACAGCAGGTTGCTCCAAGCCTGTGTCCAAGCTGGCCTTGAACACTGCCAGGGATGGGGCAGCCACAGCTTCTCTGGGCACCCTGTGCCAGCGCCTCAGCACCCTCACAGGGAAGAGCTTCTGCCTAAAATCTAATCTAAATCTCTTCTCTGTCAGCTTAAAGCCATTCCCACTTGTTTCATTCCTACATGCCACTCTCCAGATTTCTTGTCAGCCCCTTTAGGTGCTGGAAGGATCTTTGCTCTTACTTAAATATCAGCTGTGCTATACAAGGAGGGCCCCAGCTTTGAGAATATGGGATCTTCTGTTAGCTTTCAGATGCGTATTAGTTTAAGGTGAGTACAGCAGCTCCAAGACTGTAATGTTTTTCAGCAAGACATTAGCAGGATTATTTGGGGTGAGAAGGCTTGTGAATACCACAGGTGCTTCACCTGTGCTGTAAGGAACTCTGGCTGCCTCAGAAACAAAGCCACAAGTGAAGATCATGGGTAAGTGCACAGCACCTCATGTAGCAAGCAAGAAAGCTGCAGACACTGTGGTAGCTCCGCAATCACAGGAGAAAAGGAAAGCCTCTAAACAGAGCAAAGGAACTTACCTTGGTCCGGATCCGGAGATGAGTGTAAGGAATAAACTCGGGTCTCTCGTGCGGCTGCTTCCCTTTCAGGTAGCAGTTCAGCATGCAAACACCCACACCGGGCAGGGCCACCACGAAGGTCAGTATCTTCCACATACGGGCTGGTGGGGAGCACAACAGGAATTAGAACGACAAACTAAAAGTTTCCGTTAGTGACCCGGTGGCACGTTAAACGCAGCAAGAGCAATGAGGAGACAACGGATGCTCTCATCCCTCACTCGAGCGTGGGGCTCCCTCCCGTTGTGCACAGGGACACCGGAGCTCCGCTCCGCCGGGGATCCTGCGCTCACGGTTCACGCCACAGCTCCCCCGGGGCACCGCCGCCCCTCGCCGGGGCTCGCA